ATTGTTTTCTTTTGTTTTTTAAGATTCAGCTTTAAGATTTCCCTTCTGATAAAGAACTGATAAAGAAAAACGCTTTCAAAGTCAACCCTTTTTGACACATTTCCTTCGCTCCCCGCTTCTGTTTGGCGTTCTCTGCAAAAAAGCGTCCCAAAGGTGAAATCACGCTTTCAATCATCAGTGAATTTCATTGCTATATCGAAACACTAAGCTTCTAGCTTTTTTCTAGCTTTCTGAATCTAAATCCAATCATTCTCTACCCAAAAAATGCCGATAATTCGTTTCTCAAGGAATCACCTTCGCGCGAATATGACACCGAAGAAAAAGAAAGAGGTGAGCAACCTTTTGGAGTGTTTTTTCAACTCTAATTAATCTCGCATCGCCGGGGCGGTCGGCCACAGGTCCAACGCATCCTGGTTCAAGCCCCTTCTCAGCCGATTTCGATTCTTTTTAATCTGACACGTTAAACCTAGCATCTGGCTCAAAAAATGAACGGAATCAGCGTAATTCGGAATGTTTTTTCAACTCTAATTAATCTCCAATTCATCAATTAGCCTTTAAGATTGAAATAATTCTCAAAATAATCTATTTAAATGAAATTTAAAACCCTAAAAACCCTAAAAGACCCTGAAAAAAAAGATTTCACGACTTTTGGAAATTCCTTTAACTCCAATAGCAAAAATGATCAAACAAAGCCCATTCCGAATCACATTTCTTCTTTGTGATTTAAATCTAAACATTTTTACGAGCTAATTTTGGAATTTGAGCTGCGAACCAATTGCTTGAAACTCGTCAACTTTAATATTAATTTTTTTGAAACACACGATTTTCAAATCACGGATCTTCCCGATTTTCCCTTCAAACTTGCTCAGAATTAAAGTTGAAATTTAAATTTTAAATAGAATACAAATTTTCATTTTGACCTCTGAACCCATTGCCTTGAAACACGTCAACTTCGTAATACATTTTTTAACGTCGAGGATTGAGGCGGTTAGTTTGAAATATTCAAATTATTCTTATTCTGATTCAAAATGAATCGATGCTGATTCCGAAACTGTTTTCCGTTTTTGCCCTCGAAACCCGTAACGACAGATATCTCAGTTACAAGTTTTAGGCCTTAAGTAAGGATTTGAGTTCATTTTTCGCAACGCAACCAACTAGCAAAGTAGCGCATCGCCGGGGCGGTCGGCTACAGGTCCAACGCATCCTGGTTCAAGCCCCTCCTCGGCCGATTTCGATTCTTTTTAATCTGACACGTTAAACCTGGCAGCTGGCTCAAAAAATGAACGGAATCAGCGTAATTCGGAATGTTTTTTCAACTTTTTTTTTTAATCTCTATTCTAAGATTAACCCAAACCACGATTCCTCTATTAAATGTATATTTGACCCCCTTCGCAACTCGCTGATTTTCGAAAATCACAAAATTGCTAATTCCTTTGCTCAATATTTCTCCAGCGTTTTTGTAGTTGACGATGGTAGTTGCACCCCTGTTCTTCCCGCCCCAGCAATCTTAGAATAATTCGGAATGTTTTTTCAACTCTAATTAATCTCCAATTCATCAATTAGCCTTTAAGATTTAAATAATTGTCAAATTAATCTATTTACATGAAATTTAAAACCCTAAAAACTCTAAAAGACCCTGAAAAAAAAAATTTTACGACTTTTGGAAATTCCTTTAACTCCAATAGCAAAAATCATCAAACAAAGCCCATTCCGAATCACATTTCTTCTTTGTGATTTAAATCTAAACATTTTTACGAGAACATTTTTACGAGAAACATTCAATTTGAGCCACGTTTCACATCCAAACTTATTGTCTGAAACTCGTCAACTTTGATATCAATTTTTTTGAAACACACGATTTTCAAATCACGGATCTTTCCGATTTTCCCTTCAAACTTGCTCAGAATTAAACTTGAAATTTAAATTTTTGAATAGAATACACATTTTTAAATCACATGCCCTGCCCAAACACACCATTTCTGAAGCACTTATCTGTCGTTTTTCTTGCCTAATTCGAAAATTTTGGAGTTTGAGTGAAAATGATTTAAAAAGTCGAGTTTTTACCATTAATTGCTACACAATTACAACATTTTCAAAGATAAAAGTTTGTTTTAGTGCTAGTTCATTAAGTTTCTTTAAATTGATGAATTTAGTGCATCAGAAAAGGTGTGTTCAAACATTTTGAGCGCAAAGTAGATGATGAATAGCGCTTTGGAAAGTGCAAGTTTCAAAATAGAGCCTATAAAGATTGAAAAAATAAAAATAATTATACATTTCTTGACTGAAATTTAACGTAAATTCCAATGATAGTAAGCAGAAGTCGATTGAATTCTTAGATCTTGAGTTATAGACCTTTTAAATGGATTGACCCTTTCAGACAAGTAGGTGAACTTTGACCGAAAATTTCTCTATGTTTTTATATTACAGTTTACTGAACAAGATAGTTCTAAATACAATTCATTACCTACATTTTAAAACCAACCCCAAGTCGATCGGTCAATAGTAAGTGGAGATATGAGACAAAAGAGAAGAGTAGTCCAACTCAGATTCTCTGAGGGGGGTCAGGAATCTCTGAGGGGGTCAGAGACCCATTTCACTTTAAGCCTAATTTTCTCGATAATTTTATTGGTAAGTCTATAAAACAAATTATACATTTCTTGACTTGATTTCATAGAAGCCTTTGTATCATCATTGTAATCATTTGTAATCATTTTTTTTAGCAAATTACATTCACAATCGGTTTCTTAGGTTAAAGGAAAAGGGTTTTGTGTGTACAAAACTGTCAGAAAGCTGTCAGCTCCGTTTTTCCATTGAGCTAGTCTCTTTTAGCTAAGAAAAAGATGAAAAAAAAGAAAGAAAACGAAAAATATTCTTTTCTATATTTCTAAGAATCAAGCTTTGCTAGAAAAACTCGAAAATATTCGCTTTTTCAGTTAAATTCTAAAATATTATCTAAATATTATCTAAAAATCTTCTAAAAATCATCTAATTATTAAAATATTCAGCTTTACAGCTAATTTATACAAAAAACATTACTCTCAAAAAGTTTGAGTTTCAAAAAAAGGGTTTAGCGACAAAAATTCAAAGTCCAATCTAATTTTGGAATTTTGTTCAATTCATGGAATTTTGTTAATATTTCAATCGAATTCAAGATATTCAGTTGGATCTTTTTATATTTATTTGAACTGATTCTACAGAATATTCGTTTCTTCATTGAATATCAGCGAATCTCAGCGAATATCAACGAATATCAGCGAATCTCAGCGAATCTCAGCGAAGATCAGCGAATCTCAGCGAATCTCAGCGAAGATCAGCGAATTTCAGCGAATATCAGCGAAGATCAGCGAATTTCAGCGAAGATCAGCGAATATCAGCGAATCTCAGCGAATCTCAGCGAATCTCAGCGAATATCAGCTATCAATCAGCTATCAATCAGCTATCAGCTATCAATCAGCTTACCAAACTCAAAAAAACACCAAGTTTCAACTTAATCGACATCTCGGCAGAGTTTAGCACTTCAATTCTAAAATTCTCGTCTTTTCAATTTCCAATACATTCCCTTTTTTGACTCGTTTATTTCAATATATTATTGAAAAAACTAGTCAATTCACTATTATATTTAAACTTTCTTTCGTTAAATCAAAGACATTCGATTTCCAGTCGATTCCAGTCGGAAAATCAAGTCAAATCAAAAAAAAACTTGATTTAAAAAGTTCAAGTTTCAAAAAAATTCGTATTAAAGCAAAAATTCGAGCTTTAATTACTTTCAACATTTTCATTCGTCTAGTTAATTCCAAAACTAGTTAATTCTAGACTTATTTCCTCTTTTTATTCGATATTTTCTATTCCTTTAACTGAATATTCTTTTTTTCTAATCTATTTCTACTTTTTGACTGATTACGATACTTTTTGACCTGTAGAAGTTATTCAGTAGATCAATTTTGAGCTCAAAATTTGAAGCAAATCATTAGCTGAATATTTTGCTGTGCTTGAGCAAAGAGCTTGAGCTTGAGCAAAGAGCGACAAAGCTTTCAAAGGAACTACTTGATAAAGCTATTCAATATAAAGTTACAGTAACCTTACTTAGTAAAAGTTGAATTCTCCGAATCCGTAACCCTATCTATTCACAAAAAATATTGTTGAAACTCGAATACTCGAATACGAGTACCTCAAAAGCTATTCCATTCAATATATTTTACTACTGAGCTCTAAAATCCAACGATATTCAATTAATTCAATCAATTTAATCAATTCTTTCAATTCTATAAGCTAAATAGCTACAATATTCAATCAATTCTATCGATTCTATCAATTCTATCAAACAATTCGATCAATTCTTTCAATTCTATCAATTCTATAAGCTAAATAGCTAGAATATCCAATCAATCCAATCGATTCAATCAATTCTATCAATTCTGTAAGCTAAATAGCTACAATATTCAATCAATTCAATCGATTCTATCAATTCTATCAAACAATTCGATCAATTCTTTCAATTCTATCAAGTCTATAAGCCAAATAGCTATAATATCCAATCAATTCAATCAATTCGATAAGCTAAATAGCTACAATATCCAATCAATTCAATCAATCCAACCAATTCAATCAATTCAATCAATTCAATCAATTCTATAAAACCCTTTAACCATTAAATCAGCTAAATAGCTTTTAAACTAAAATAACTTGAAACTGAAACAAATCCAGCGAAACGAGATCGTCGATCACTTCCATTTCACTCCCAATTCTCTAATCTCGTTTTCCGATTTCGATTTAATTGCTAGTTTCATTATTCAACTCCAGCTGGGACACCTACATTCTTGAAAAAACCTCTTGCATTGATCCCAAAAAAGAAATAAAGTCACTCACCAAGCGATTACTTTAAAGAAGATAATTATTCACTTTTTTTTTCTGGCAAAAAAGCGACGTGACCAATCTAAAAGCATCGGAATTCATTATTTTCTGAAACTCCTCGACACTTTATTCATTTTGAAACTTTCAAAATGGTGCGAGCTTTTGGAACGGTGGCTGTGGCGAGGAGGAGGAGACAGGTAAAAGAAATATTTTGTTGAAAATCACAACTTGTTATTGAAATACAGCAAGACTTAGTCTTTTGTCTGGTTCAAAATTGCTTTAAACATTTTCAGCTAATAAAGAAACTGGATAGAGACTAAAGTTTGAGCTACAGTATGCTCTAATTTTGTCTGACTTTTAGTTCAATGCGTTTTAATCATAATAATAATAATAATAAACTTGTAGGCTTTCTTGAATAAAGTGTATAAAAATGATAATAATAATAATCATAATGACAAATAAACCAAAGGCACAAAGCTAGTTTGCTTGTGAGGCGGCCAATTTGGCCCCAATTTGAAACACAGTTTCTGATTTGGACTTATAATACTTATAAAACTTATAAAACTTATAATAACAATAATAATAATAATAATAATAATATGAGAATGGTCTATCAAATGAGGTATGACTCATCCCAAAGGGTCACCCAACTTTATGTCATTAACTTTCCGGCCGTTCTTTAACCTTTAGCAAAGTTGAAACCCAAGATTTTCAAGAGAAGAACTAGGAGAACTAAAGATTTTTTCATACTTCCATTTCGAAAGTTACATTACGCATAGATTTTTAAAGGGAAATTTGTAAATAAATAATAGGAGCTTCTGATAGAATAAACCGAAATCGATTGGCCATTGGCTTTTGGCTATTGGCGATTGGCTCATTATTCATTTCAAAAAGTAACCTTTAAAAAAAGCAAACAAGACTTTCTGGACAGCCTAGTTGTACTTTTTTCATACTCCCATTTCGAAAGTAACATTAGCCATAGATCAACTCCATCAAAGTCAGAGATTTTTGAAACTGGGTCATAATTTTCAAAATTCAGAGTAATTTTGAAAGCTTTTAATTACTTTCGTTGTTTGTTGTCTTTTAAAATTAGAACCTTCTGTAAGATCAATCGGAACACTATGAACTTAAATAGCCTTGAGCTACAGTATGCTCTAATTTTGTCTGACTTTCAGTTTAGTGTGTTTTAACTTATAATCATAATCATAATAATGATAATAATAATATTAGGTTGATGCAAAAGTCTTTTTCATTTTTTTCGTACTTCTTTTGAAAAATAACAAAGTCATCAATTAACCTATGGTTTGCTCTAAATGAAAAGTGTTTATTGTTGAATTTCCCATCTTTTTAAGTCAATTTGGGTTCACTTTCAAGCAAATTCGAGAGTGAAAACGGGTTTTTCATAAAAATCTATAAAAACCTCCATAAAGAAATTGGCCGAATCAATTTCTCTGAAAATCTGAAAAAATATCTAACTTTTTGTGCTCTATCTTTTATTTATTAACATCAAGATTGGTTTCCTTAGCTAAAGCGTCTAAAATGCATCATCGAGCCGTCGCCTTTTTTGACTACCCGACTTCAGGCTCTCAAAAAAAATCTAGACATAAGACATTTTAAACTCGTTTTAATGTCATTTTGCAGAAAAATAATTGGCCTTTCGAATGCAATAAACCGTTGTTCAATTGGTGCATTTGTTACTTTTTAACGGAAGTACGAAAAAAATGAAAAAGACTTTTGCATCAACCTAATAATAATAATAATATGTGAATGATCCATCAAATCGGGTATGACTCATCCCAAAACGCTACCTCAACTTCTAGCGATTGACTTTTCGGTCGTTCTTTAACCTTTAGCAAAGTTGAAACCCAAGATTTTCAGGAGAAGAACTAGGAGAATTAAAGCTTCGGCACAAAGCTAGTTTGCTTGTGAGGCCGCCAATTTGGCCCCAATTTGAAACACAGTTTCTGATTTGAACTGTCTGATTTTTGGTTTGATCAAATTAAGCTCAAGAATTTTTAACAAAAATAATCAATTTTTCAAAATAAAAAGCTAATTTATCAAGTTTTTCATAAGATTTCGATTTTTTAAAAACAATAAACAAAAAACCGAATTAAAAAGCTTTTTTCAACTTTAGAGGCAAATTTGAGAAACTTTTTCAATTGAAATTTCAAATTTCAATTGAAATTCGATAAATTTAATTTCTATTGATAAGCCCATTGACAAATTTGTCTAGCTTTGTAATTTTTTTTTCAATTTCTCTCTAGATTCACTCGTTATTTCATAATATTTCATAATATAGAATAAGAAAGAAACAAAAATAAGCTCTGGGATAAGAAAGAGATGAGAGAAAGAGATAATTCTTGATTTCTTCAGAAATTTCCCTGAAAAACGAATTCTCTCCCCTCAATTCATTCATATTTATTAGAAATGACAGCTCAATCTGAAGAAAAAAAGAAAAGAAGAGCTCATCTCTTTTTTTCGGATAAAGAATTGAAAATATTTATGAAGAGAACACGAGATAAATCCCAGAGCTTAGAAATCATCTTTAATGATTGCCGGGCAGAATCTTTCGTTTATTAAACCTTTTGTTCTCATTCACTCTTTGAAAAAATTGAAACCTTACAATATTTTTTCTGAAAGCTTTGCTATCATTAATCTAGCTTCACTGTTTTTCTTAGGCCGCAAGTTATTAGGTTGATGCATAAGTCTTTTCGTTCCTTTTCGTCTGCCGTTTCAAGCCAACAAATGCACGAATTAAACTACGGTTGATTTCATTAGAAAAAGCAATTATTTTTCTGCAAAATAACATTAAAACGGGTTTAAAAATATTGAATGCCTGGATTTTCTTGAGAGTATGAAGTCGGGTAGTCAAAAAGGGCTAACTCGATGATGCGGTTTAGACACCTTAGCTAAAGAAAACCTATCTTCGTGTCAATAGATAAAAGATAGAGAAAAAAAACGTTTGATATTTCGCCAAAATTTCAGAGAAATTCATTCAGCCAATTTTTCCGTAGAGTTTTTTATAGATTTTTACGAAAAAGGCGTTTTTCACTCTCGAATTTGCTTGAAAGTGAACCGAAATTCATTTAAAAAGATGCAAATTGAACACAAAAAACACTTTTTTTATAGAGCAAACTATAGATTAATTCGTGAATTTGTTACTTTTTAAACAGAAGTACGAAAAAAACGAAAAGACTTATGCATCAACCTATTAAAATACGCAAATTTTTTTTCGAATCTCGAGAGTTGCCTAAGTCTCATCCCAAAAGTGGTATGACAAATGAGGTATGACTTAGACTTCGGAAAACAAAACTTAACCAAAACCAAAACCACCAAAACCAAAACCATAACAAAACCAAACCAAAACCACCAAAAGCAAAAGCATAACAAAACCAAAACCAAACCAAAACCAAAACCAAAACTAACCAAAACTCGGCAATATCTCGCGACTGGGAGGAGCTAGCGAAAATCTGTTTGCAGATTTGAAATCAGCGTCCAAAAATCTATCCCATAGGCTATTTTTTGTTTCGAAATTTCGAGGTCGTGTTTTGGTCCTTTTTTCGGCCGCGAGATTTTGTGGAGTGAGAAAAAGTGAAAGGCAAATTTACATGTTAATTTATATGCAAATTGAGTTTTGGTTTGTTTTGGTTGTTTTGGTTTTGTTTGCCGAACTCTAGTATGACTCATCTCAAAAGGTCACCTCAACCCCTAGCCATTGACTTTTCGGCCGTTCTTTAATCTTTAGCAAAGTTGAAACCCAAGATTTTCAAGAGAAGAACTATTTCGGCGATTTATTGTTGTACCTTTCGTAACTATGGCAAAAGCTTAAACTATCATTAGAAATGACATTTTTTCAATTTCTCTCTAGATTCACTCGTTATTTCATAATATTTCATAATATAGAATAAGAAAGAAACAAAAATAAGCTCTGGGATAAGAAAGAGATGAGAGAAAGAGATAATTCTTGATTTCTTTAGAAATTTGACAAAATGACAACTCAATCTGCAGAAAAAAGAAAAGACGAGCTCATCTCTTTCGGTTAAAGAATTGAAAATGTTTGTGAAGAGAACACGAGATAAATCCCAGAGCTTAGAAAATTCAATCCAGCAATCATCTTTAATTGCTGGATTGATTGCCGGACCAAATTTTCCTCTTATTAAAGTTTTTGTTCTCATTCAGTCTTTGGAAAAATTGAAACAAACACTTATATTTAGGCTTAGAGCAACTGTAATCTGTCAATCTGTCAAAATTTTTGAGATTTTCTTTGATTTCTATTAAGAAAAGAAAATATTAGGCTTTCAAAAGTCTTTTTGTTTCTTTGTACTTTCATTTAAAACCATTTAAAACCATTTAAAACCATTTAAAACCATTTAAAACCATTTAAAAGCATTTAAAAGCATTTAAAACCGTTTAAAACCATTTAAAACCATTTAAAACCATTTAAAACCATTTAAAAGCATTTAAAACCATTTAAAAGCATTTAAAACCGTTTAAAACCGTTTAAAACCATTTAAAACCATTTAAAACCATTTAAAACCAAAAAAATGCACTAACTTCAATGAAAGTACGAAAAGAAACAAAAAGAAACGAAAAAAAACTTTCTGGACATCTTTATAACATCGAAAATTGTTATCAAAACATAAATTTTGTGCTTCGCTTCGAAAGCTTCATTTCATTACGCTATTTCTACGCTCATAGCACAAAATAGTATTTTATACTCCGAAATTTCAGGGTGATGGTTTATCTTATACTAAACTAAAAACTCTGCAAACGATTGAACCAGAATGACAAATTTTTGCTAAATTTTCTCCTTTTATACACTTTCCCCCAAGCCTACGGTAGTTCATCCACCCTATAATCTAAACACTCCAGCTGAATACTTTTTGTTACAGAACAAAAATGGTGCATCCTGAAAGAGCATCAAATCATAATTTCTTCTCAACCTCGCCGCTTCATTTTTCTGCATTTTTATTAAGTAACTTGATTAGAATTGAAACATTCTTTTTGAAAAATTGGAAAAAGTTCGAATTTCGATATTTTCTTACGTTTTAATGTATACGTTTCATATTTTGATCTCATTTATCTCTTGATCTCTTGAAATCTCTTGAAAATATCTACATGATATTTTCAAAACAGAAACGGAATCTGGCTTTTTGTAAATTGTACATCGATTGTAGAGTATCAAAAAAAAAACTAT